CAATATATATACGTATGTGTATATATAAATAATATAGTAAAATCATTTTGCATATGTTGACCTACTTTTGACCTTTCTTAAAGCCATATGATTTTTTTTTTACTACTCTATGAGATTTTTATTTTTTTAATTGTTTATTTTTTTTTGTTATTTTTAGTATAAGTCTTACTTATAAAATGTGAGAAAAGTAAGCCATAAAAACTCAAAGGTAAATATAAAAACAGAACCTAATATACCAATGAAAACACCCAAGAAATAAAAAAAGGTTAAATTTAAAAAATGCACAACATAATATATATTAAGAAAAAGAAAACGAAAAAATACCTATTTTTGACGAAATTATGAAATATAATCCTATGCCAGCCCACTCTATAATAAAAGTATAATTTTCTCTAGTCACTTGATGTAGCAAACAACACACCAACACCTAGTAATAGAAAAAGAAAAGAGAACAAAATTGAAAACAATATGTGTCTAGCTCTAGGAGGTATTCCTTGATATTTAAAACAATCATAGGTTTGTTGGCAACATACGAAACCACAACAAAAACCACTAATAATACACATACCTTTAAATGTTTGCAAAAAAGGACTTGAAAACTAATTATTGAAATTTCCATGATGCGATCACCAAAATCTTGTAAGCCACACATTGTATCTTGATACTGGTATTACTTTAGAGTAACTACTAAACCACTGTTCTAATCAAGATATTTGATAGTTGTAGTAGATAAAGCAATTCTATTGCAGGAGAATATCTAAGAATTACAAGATTAGACCATTTGTATAAATAAGAAAAACAAATCTCTTAGTAATATTACATGAAAAAATGTATTAGCATTCATCACCTATTTCTAATTATTCAACTCAAGCAAACTATGATTGTGCTACTTTGTGAAACCACTAGTAAATAGTACTAAAAAACAAATCAATGAAATTAAAAACATCAATTAATCATGCATTTCACCAGAATTATACATTAATTATTGATATTAATTGGATTATTAAAATTGATTATGTAGAATTTTAGTTGTACTAATAGAGTCTATCAATTTGATTATACATTTTCCTTCATAAACATTAGTAATATTCTGTATCATAATTGTACTATGTTATATATTTTTCTTTGACTTTTGCTTATAGGATTGGATTTTTCTTGAAACCTGCATTATTAATATTGGATTATCCATATGTTTTTAAATAATTCAACAACTTTTAAGCTTTTTGGAATGTAGACATCTAACTTCAAAAACAATATACTGATATCACCTACAAACTTGATTTATTCTAAATATTCTAAATTTATTCACCAATAACATTGCAGATGTGAACAACATGTTATTTTGTTGTTTACCATGGTACATTTTTGCAAGGTATGAAAACATAATTGTTTTTACCCTTTTTTTTTTTTTTTTACTTTTTGTTCAATTTTAGGCTGCACATAATAGATATTGACCTCTTAAGAGATTTCATTGCAACATTGGGACCATTTCATCATTAGTCTGTTAATCATTTTTATCACTACCATATACTTATGAAACGATAATGGAATCACGATATAAGGTTTTAATGTTTATAAAATTTTTAACCTTTCTATGATATTTTCTAAAATGATACCAGGTTTCTTGTGGGTCTGATCCAATTAAGCTTACATCCAACTTTGATAATCATATATGCATTTTATTTTGTTTGGTTTGATGAAGGCCAACTTTAGTAGCATTTATGAGCTTGTTATGAAAGTGACATATTAAGCACAAAGGACAAAACTTTAAGCCCCTATAAATTTGTTCTTTGTTTAGATCATTTGATAAATGTGACATTGAATTAATCAATCACATGTAATGAACAAAAAAAAAAAAGAACCTTATTGATCTAAAACTTTAAGGAAAAATTTTGCTTGAAAAAAGATCTCAAAAGTTTTCAGTCAAAAACTTTAACAGCATAGGCATTGAATCCATGACTGTAAGGCCAATATTTGGTCTAATGCTTTCTTCGATGGACCTTTTTATAGATGGATTAGACCTTTGTTTGTTACAGGCTCCAAAATTTTTAATGAAAAAATACGAAGGTGTTTTCAACTTTGGATCAAAATCACATGCAACCTTACCATTATCTAGTTTAATTAAGAAAAATAGGTAATAGCTTTCTATGGTATATTCTAGTAGGCTTTTCCAATTAAATGTAGAAAAAACTTGTAATAAACAAAAATAGACTACCAACTAAAAGAACCCACAATGCCAAAGTTACAATTATAAGACCACAATATAAAATTTTGTCTTACTATTTTTTCAAAATAGAAAATATATTATGCAATAAAAATTACAAACTAGAAAAAGCTCACATATTGAAACCATCTCACTTTCAAAATATATGCAGTAAAATCATTTGCACTAAACTAACAAAAATAAAAAGTTTCAAAATGTAGAATTAAAGAATAAGCTAACTTCAAATGCCTTGGATTCTAGTTAGTTAATTTAATTCCTTAATAATTTGGCTTTAATTTTTTGACTTTCAATGTTTGCAAGTTCTCTTTTGGCAATCTCTACTACATGTAATGTATTTTGCAAGCCATCTAGCAATCCTTTATTCTCCTATTTATTTAAAAGCTCCTCACCTTGTTTGCCAAACAATTCTAGATCAAACATTCTTAAGATTAAACTTTAACCATATTTGTTACAATTGTGACAACACAAATTGAAGAAAAAAATAGAGTAAAAAATAAGATAAGCTAATATTTAATATCGTCATTCTTTTACAAAAGAAAAAAAAAGTCAGAAAATAAAACAAACATTCATAAGACCAAAAATTTAAAAGTTGGATCTAAATGGAAATAACCTTAAACTGATTGGATCAAGCCAAAATAACAACAAAAGTTTGGGAAACCAAATCAAATACCTCCATGCGATGGTGCAATCAGCTCTCTCCTAAAGTTGAAAGACAACATTTTACTTTTAGAGTTAATGTCTGATTCAATAGTAAATGGGTCACCATGACTTAATTCCTCAATTACAGTTGCGATTAAAAATCATCAGAAGTCGACCCTAAGCCACTAAAATTACGGCTACCAAGAAATTAAAGAGGGATTTAGATTTTTTTTTTAAAAAAAAAGCTAAGGAGAGAAGTTGTGAGTTTGAGAAAGAGAATAGTAAAAAGAGTTTGAATAGGAAAGGGAATAAAGAAGAGAGAAAAATGGAATTAATAGAGAATAGCATGAAAAATGATTGAAAATCTATTTTGATTTAGGAAAGAAGAAAAATGAGCAAATAGAAATAAAAACAATGGAATAAAACGTAGAAAATGTGAAAAGGAAAAAAAATACCTGTGGGTTAGGTTTAGGTAAAAGTAATGCAAAAAAAAAAAAAAAAACAACTTTAGAAGGAAAAAGTTCACTTGAAGACTCTCACCATATTTTCTCTTTCTATCATCTTCTATTGTTAGTTTTTATTCCTCGTTAAGTTTACCCACCAGTTAAGTTTACCTACCAGTTACATCCATCTCTTTTCCATTAGTTTCTCTAACTTTTCACTTAACCATCACATATCACATATTTGAAATAGTTAGGTATTTGGTAAGAAAATAATTTTAAAAAGAAAATATATATGTATATATTTAAGAAAATAAAAAAATTTAAAATAACAAAAGATTAAAAATATGGAAAAAGAAAAGGGGTGCCACATGGACAAACCCATTGCTCTCAAAAGTTTGCAAAATTAATACTATGGATATATCTTAAAATAAAATTTTTCTTTTTATGGAATAAACAACTTTTTAAGTTTTCACCATTTTGGTATGGATAAAGATTCTTCTTTCACTATTTAAAAAAAGATTAAATATAAAAATAATTTTTTACTATATAATTTTTGTCATTTTAATATTTAAAGAAACAAAATTATTAGTTTGATATTCTAATTTTCATTCCACATCTACTTTGATATCTAAAACTAATACTATCAATCAATTTGTTAATATGATATTACATCCAATAAAAAAATAATACATGTCAAAAAGTTCAATTAATATCATATCATCAATTGTCATGTAACATTAAAAGAAAATTTCAAAAAAATTTTTGAAAAATTTTAAAAAATTCAAAAAAATTTTAAAAATATGAAAACTTTAAAATTTTTAAAAGTCTAAAAAATTTTAAAAAATCCAAAAATTTCTTAAAATTTAAAAAAAAGAAAAGTTTAATAAAAATAAAATTTTCTTAAAATTCAAAATAATTCACAAAAATTATAAAAAATTGAAAATAAAAATTTAATTTTTATAAAAAATAAAAATTTTAAATATATATACAATTTTAAAAAATTCTAAAAATATTCCATTTTTTTAATCTTATAATTTTAATTTTTATATATTTGTTGAAATTTTCAAAATGTTTAAATTTTTTATTAAAATTCTAATTTTTTTTATTTTTTAGAATTTTAGAATGTTTAAGATTTTTGAAAATTTTTAATTTTTTAGAATTTAAAAAAATTTATAAATTTTAAACAAATTTTAGAATTTTTTTATAAAAATTTCAAAGAATTTTAGATTTTTAAAATTTTTCCAAAATTTTCAAAAAAATTTATATTTTTTTAATTTTCAATCTTTTAAAAGTTTTTGTGAATATTTTTTGAATTTTAAGAAACTTTTATTTTTATTAAAATTAATTTTTTTTAATTTTTTTGATTTTTTATTAAAAATTTGAGATTATTTTGAAATTTTAAAATTTTCATAATTCTTTAAATTTTTATAATTTTTAAAAATACTTTTTTTAATTTTTTATAATTTTTAAAGATATTTCTTAATTTATTAAAATTTTTAAAAATTTTAATTTTATTTTAATCATAATGTCACAATTGATAATTTGACATTAATTAAAATTTTTGATACATATCAATATTTTATTAAATATTAATATCACATCAATAAATTAATATATAAAGTCGACAATTTTATTTTTTTTTAAATGTTAAATTGACAAAAAATATATAAAACACAGCAGGAATTTTATATTTAACAAAAAAACATATACATGTAGGTTTTGTGCAAGAAGAAAAAGGAGAAAAGGAGATATAGAAAGGCCATGCGAACAACTGCGGCGTAATCCTGGGGAAGATCCGAAGAAAAGAAAAGAGGGCGATTTGAAACATCGGTTGGGTGAATCGTATTGGTTGGTAATTTTAGCAGGTAATACGATATGGGACTGAGCAAGAGAGAAAGGAAAAGCAGCTCTAATTCAACATCGCCTTGTGCCCATCTCCGAGCTGCTTACCACAATTGCTTTAACAGGTCGCTTCTTCTTCTTCTTCTTCTTCAATTTCTGTAAAACTCTTCTTAATCCCTGGCTCTCTCTCTCTCTGTCTTTCATTTTCAGGTGGTACTCCGAGAAATTTGTAAAGGGTCAGTGGAATAAAGAGGAATGTCTTTCCGAATGGCAAAAATACAGATCTTGCCTCTCTGTAAATTCCATCTTACTCTTCCCTTCCTTCTGGAATAGATTATTTTCATCGTTTTGCTTAATTGCTTTTCTTTTGTTTGGACAGGAACATTTGGATGACAAGCATCTAAGTCGCTTCTTGCAAGCTGAAGGTGCTCTTGGTTCCATTTTTCAAGAGGACAGTGGAAACCCAGTTGAGAATACTGCTAAATAGTGTCAAGAAAGGTCAAGAAGCTAATGAAGTTTACATTTGGCTTATGTTAAATGAACATGGTGGTTTATACAGATGATGCTATAGGAGGCTGGGGATTATTGTTGATAGGTGGTTGTTACTTGCTAAAATCTTTGGGAGGAACCCAATTTTAAGTTGTTTAATACTAGGACGTAGGTTCATTAAATAAACTAGATATAACGTTGTTGGTGATGCCTGTATGAGACTTAACTGTGAAAAGCACTCTAAATAGCACCTTGATACAGGTTGCTGATAGTTATATAAGGGAAGTTTAGCTTTATTACTTCAAAATCGTGATCTAAGATGAACAATTTAATCAGAAGCTAAGGATAGAGTTGATAGACTATTTAAACAAGAACAGGCTCTGCTTTCAATCCTTATCACCTAAAACTGATACACGGGACTTGGGTTTTAGCGCACAATTTATTATGTGTATATCATGGGAAGCTCTACAACTCATACTCTGGTCATTGATCAATTCTATCCTTGTTTAATCCCATGACCTGACAGCGTCACAGACTACATTTAAATAACAGTCAAAGTTTCGCTTCTTCTCTACTGTCTTCTAGGTGGAGCATGACTCCATGCTACACTGTATTGTTCTGATTTTGCTGGAGTTCGATTCTACATTTCATGGACCAGCCCTTGATTTCTTTCCCTCAAAAAAAGGTGTCATTTAAATAAGACAAAACAGTCTCCCGGTAATCATCTCTTGTTCAACCTATATATCACGAGATGTTGATTATGGTGTCTACTTCTGAAGTATCAGCATAGTCAGGAAATTTTGTTTCAGAATGTGATTTCAGATTTCCACCTGGCATTCCTTTGATGCTGCTGTTTCTAAGTGGATAGCCTTTCAGGATATCGCTATATCTAATTTAACTGAGTGGTACCGAGTTTTAACTAGATCTATATTATCAATTATGAGATGTAACTAAATGTCTTGCCTGCCAGAAGGGGTTTTTTTTACCGCAAGACTGAAGTTCTCTTCTTTCTGTTGGTGGTTATTTTTTTTTATTGACTAAGGTAATTGTGGTTGTTTCTTCAGGCAATGGACAGAAGTGATTTGTTAAAGCTGGTTGCAAGTAACAACCATCCTCTGTTGCAGACATTAATGATACTGTTACTCGCATAGAACTCGCAATTCTCTGTTTAAATTTTGCTGAGGAGTAGTCTAGTTCTATCATTCTATAATTTGTACTCTAGATTGGATTTTGGCTGGTAGGGACTCGACGCAGAAAGTGAAAAATGAAGCCCACAGTTGAAATACTAGTCAAGGTATTTTAAATTGTTGGTTCTGATGTAGAAAAACTCATTGGCGTTCATCAACAAGGAATTCATTTGATGTTTTTCACTGACCAGCATGGATTTTGATGCAGAAGTATATTTTACAGAAATTTATGATGAACCTTATTTCACCAGAGTTAAGATCCTTAACTATTGTGATACTGATCAGCGGTAAGTTCTGGTGCAAATTATGTTCCTTTATTAACAAAAAATATCCTAGTAAACTCCACGAAGTTTCAATCTCGAAACTTTTTTTTTTTTTATTTACATGAATTATATACTATCTTCTGGTCAATATTAAGTTACATCTGTGACTGTCCTTCCATTAGCCACACAACACAGTTAAAAAACATCTCAGGGTTAAGAGTTATTCTCTTAGTAATGAAATAGTTTATATCACAACTCTGAGCTTATTTATGTTGGTTTATATAATCACCTTTTCAAAGGTGTCATCAAGTAAAGTTTATAATTCAAATTTCTTAATACTTGCTTTTTCTCCAAGGCGCTACCTTTGTGTAAAAAGAGTTTATATTAATAGCCAGGCTTTAGATGTTTTCAGATTACACCCTATGATCCCAGAAGGAGGCACCAGTTAATTATATGAACTGATATTAAACAATAGTAAGAAATACTGACATATGAGATTACAGCACCAAACAAGAAATTGGAAAATCAGGATATTTTGGTTCCTGACCAAGTTATTGTTGCTTTCTTGGAATAGAAGAGTCCTGGTAAGACAAATTTCATCCAAAGTGATAAAATGCTTTTCTCTTCTCAATGGAACAACTAGCAAGACTTGCAACTCTTGTTTAGCTATGAATTATGATATTCAACAACTATAGAGTTCCTCTTATTAGAATCAATATTGCCATTTAACGCTAAATGCTCATGCTTTTATCCTCGAATGTTGGACTGTTTCATTTCTTCTTGAATAAGAAAAGTGCAACCATCCATTCTTCTCCATTGTTGTATCCAAAGAGTTCTGCAACAGCGATAAAGAATGTTCTCCAATAGACAGCCCATTTGACAGCCTGCTCCTTGCCATAGGTTGACTCCATTATTGGCTTGATGGAAGCCAAGTTTTGGTCCATTTTCTTGAGCCACTCTTCACTGCAATACAAAAATGTTCTCTGAGAATGTTCAAATTGTTAACATGGAAAGAAATAGTTAAGCCTCACAGTTCAGTATTTCTCTGGGAAGAATCTGGGATTTTAAACAAGTTTACTACAGCTATTGTTTGTAATGAATATTTATATTGGTATTACAGAATAACTGTTCTCACCTAGTTTGCGCATAATGTTTCCCATTCACAAGCCAATGATTGACAATAGAAACATCATCCTGCATATAAATGATGAACAAGAAGCCATCAATGGGTGAGTTAGCTCATGCAGAGCTCAAATATGCAAATTCCTTCTGATGGTTAGGCATCATGGAAAAACACACTTTTTTTTTTTTTTTTCATTTATTAGCAGGAAGCAATATGACATCAAAATCCATGGCCATTGAATTTCAATTTTCAGAATTCATAGTCGATATGACATGTAAAAAAAGCCACAAGGTTTCAAGTATGAAATACAGACCTGGAAATAAAGAAGCAGATTAGCTGAAGGCATTGTACCTCCTGTGAAGAAATACCTAGTTATCCAGTCATCTTCATTTATATCCTAGATAAAAACGTTTGATAAATTATTGTCACATCAGATAAGATCCTAATATTTAAAATAATGTTATAAAATAGTATGATGACTAAACCCATATTAGCAATTTCAATTAAGATCACTCAGCAAAATCAATTTATATGCATACCTCAAAGTGGTAAGCAAATGCTTTATGGCAGAAATAATGAACAAAAAGAAGACTATCCTGTTTCATCCACTTGGATAACTTCTTGAGGAGATCCTGATAGTTCTTCATATGCTGTTAGAAAATGACAGAATCAATTTTCCAAATATCAACATTACATGTGTGTGTAGAACTGACTGACAGCAAAAATAATCAACCTCAAACATTTCAATGGAGTATATCCTGTCGAATGATGCCTCCATTTCGAATGTGCTTATGTCTGCAACAATGATATCCACATTTTGTAACTGCTGATCCCTATAAAGGGTAACACAAGTTAGTTTTCAAAACTCAGAGTAGTGTATAGGGAGTAATACTTTCATTTATACATAGCATTCAGCAAGTAGCATTACCGGCATTGCTCCTCTATAAAAGCTTTCTGTGTGATGGAATTGCAAATCCCTGTAACCATGCAATTGGGATATTTCCGGGCAATATATAGAGAAAGTGAGCCCCATCCACAACCCACATCAAGAACAGTGTGCCCATCTTTTAATTGCGACCTCTCACAGTACAGTTCCAACATTGCTTCCTCAGCATCCTCCAAAGTTTTCGACCCATCAGAGAAGTAACAACAACTGCATCTTTCCATATATAAAAAGCCACATCAACTGCTAACAAAATGGTACACAAATCGAACTCTTTCAACTATGAACATAAAAGAAAGAAAAAAACACCTGTATTTGAAATTCTTCCCCAGAACCAACTTGAAGAAAGAGGCTGGCAGCTCGTAATGTTGAGCTTTAGGCTTATCTGTCTTGATAGCTATAGGCATGTCCCTTAAAGCTACAAGGCAAACAAACAAGTCAACGGAACACTACAATATAAAATCAAATCAGGGTAAGCCAAAAAATAAATAAATAAAAATTTAACATCTAAGAAATATACTAACAGTGAGCGAAGTGAAGCAGGTCAGAGAGTTGGAGTTCAGTGGAGGGTCTATAACCAGAGCGAAGACGGCTAGCTAAGAGCAACCGTGTTAACCTCCTTATAACAGCATCAGGCAGCAAATTGCGCTCCAGGGAAGCCAACATCAACCGCACCGTAGCATCATAGGGCGCCTGCATTAGACCCTCCATCAGCAAACGCTTTGCTTGACTCATCCTTACTTGAACTTCTCTTTCTGCTGAGAATAGAAGCTTATCTGTTGGTGATGGGTGGCTGACAGTACATTCGAAACAAGTACAACCCAAGTTGCTGCTGTTATATGCCTAAAAATGGGCTTCACGATTCAAGAGTTGGGTTGAGCAGCTTTATTTTGGACCCTTATTTTGGACCCTTATTTTGGACCCTTTTGGCAGTTAGGTGCCCCACCCGATCAGAATCACGAATCCAGAATTGTTTCTTACATGTAAATGGTAGCTGTTTCACATGAAATGTATAAAGCACGTGTGAAAATTTCAAGTTCTATAATATTGAAAGAATTAGATAAGAAATTTCACTTCTAAACAAACCCCGAAACCCTAAACTTTAATATCATAAATGCCATACAATTTGTCACTTATTGACAACTGATTTAGTTGAAAAAAAGGATAGTAAAGAGCTAAAGTTGCAACAAACCCAATGTAGGTGTCACGTTTTGGGCGGGCGCATCAGGCACATCAAGTCGACCAGCAAGCAAACCAGAGGTTAAGGCCCGCAGATCAGGTGTGCTGGTGGGTATCTGCGCGTAAAGCCTAGCAAACGAGCTCAGAACGCTCGTCTGACTTGCAGGCCAGCCCATGAGACCAAGGCCTGGCATACAAGCTGCCCGCACCACATCCAGAAGAGCCCAAGATGCTGGACACGCAAGGGAAGGTTCTGGAAGTAGGCAGGATCAGCAGGAGCATCCTGACAGATTTGGTTGACCCTGAAAATCAGGAGTTAACATCCTGATTGATTGTAATCTGTATAATCCCATGATTTTAGCCTTTATTCTAGGGATATGTCATTAAGTTGTAGCTGGAGCCTCAACTATAAATAGAGGGTTGCTCCACCCTCATTTATACACCATCAAACACTTCTGTTTCAGTGAATACAAGAGCATTTCTAGAATTCTGCCTTCTTATCCTGTTTCTCTTTAACTTGCGTAATTAGTCCTTCCCGTTATTCTAGTGCCCGGACGCTTGTGTTTTTGGCTGACTTAGGCATAAAGGAGGAGATTTCAAGTCTAAGGCCGCATGGATTCTGAGTCTAAGGTCGGAGCTCGTGACAGTTGGTATCAGAGCCAGCCCTAAACCGTTCGATCCACGTCAAACACCTCAAGGGAGGCAAGCAGGGTGGTTAGTCTCTGTGACGAGGGCGTCATGAGGTTGGGTGCGGGAGAATGTCACGGACCTAAGGATGAGTCCTGAATCTCACATCGAACATAATAAGAGGGTCATTGGGGTATATAAGGGTTCACACCACCTCCATCTTGTGAGGTGCCTTTTGTAAGACAAAACCGTGAGGTCAGGGGGGCCAGAGCGGACAATACCTCACAAGGGTGTGAACCATGGTAGGAAGGCTGATCTGGGATGTCGGAAGGGTGAATGCCCAAGTCCCAGAGCCGCGCAGATTCGGAGCTTAAGTCTCGATCCGTGACATAGGGACAAGGCCACGAGGATAAAAATTACAATACGAAACTCAATTAATGTAAAATTAAGTGAAATCAATCAAAAACATCTAAAGGTTTGAAATTTTTAATTTAAATGTCTAGATAAAAGTTAAAAATGATAAAGAACAACATGTGGATGTGATATTCTTAATGGTTACCCTTGTGTATATTTCATAGGTCAAGACTTAAGCTTTGAATCAGTGCGGCTCCAGGACTCGGACATCCACTCATCTTGCGTCCCAGATCAGCCTACCTATCATAGTTCACACCCTTGTGAGGTATTATCTTCTCTGATCCCTCTGACCTCACGGTTTTATCTTACAAAAGGTGCCTCACAAGAAAAAAATTATGTGAACCCTTATATACCCTAGTGACATTCCTTTTATACTCAATGTAGGCTGGTCACCCTACCTATCTCCCTCGAGGTGCTTGGGACCCGGGCATCCACTCATCCAAAGTCCCAAATCAACCTACCTGCGGTGCTTGGTGTGGATCGAATGATATAGGGCTGGCTCGGGACCCGGGCATCCACTCATTCAAAGTCCCAAATCAACCTACCTACCACAGTTCATACCTTTGTGAGGTATTGTCCGCTCTGGCTCCCTGGCCTCATGATTTTATCTTACAAAAGGTGTCTCACAAGGAAGAGATGGTATAAACCTTTATATACCTCAATGACCTTCCTATTATGTTCGATATAGGATTCAGGACTCTTCCTTGAGTTCGTGACATATACACATACTCAAACGAAAATCAAATTTATTCATACTCAAATGAACCTATTCATTGGATAATAGCGTGAGGTCGGCAGCACTGTATCTTTAGCTATATTAGAAACTTATATATATATATATATATATATATATATATATATATTGTGAGGAAAGGAAAGCATGCATTCGTTAGGAAATATAACGGTACACCCTTATCCCATTAGTTTCAGCTAATAAAAGGGAATAATACAAACAGGGGATCAGAAAAAATAACAAAAAGGATAAGGCTAGGACTACAAGTCTTAGACATTAAAGGAGCTTCACTTCCCATCCTAGCAGGGCATCGGCGTTCTTATTTCCTTCACGAAAAACATGTTTCATAATCGTCTATTGGAATCTCGTCAGCAACATCCTGCAGTCACACACAAAGGTATTAAGGAATTGGCTGGAGGACATAGTATTCTTTATAAGGTTTATCACAACCATTGCATCCAGTTCCACTTTAAGAACTCCTGCATCCATGACCAGCTTAAGACCATCTCTCAAAGCCCATAGCTTTGCCTCAACATTGGTAGCTTTGGGGACGTGACGGCTTGAGGCTGCAATCCATCTTCCTGTATGGTCCCGAAGAACTATTCCCACTTTAACCTTTCCTGGGTTACCAATTGAGGAACCGTTCGTATTTAATTAATGCCAACCCTGTGAGTCGTTCCCATTTGACTCCAATGAACATAGGAATGGTGATCTTCCTAATCTTTCCCACAATGGCTTGTAACTCCTTTGCTCTCTCAACAGCTTTGGGGACCACCTTAGTCGCTTCTAACTTCCCTTCAAAGATCAGTTTGTTTCTGGTTTTCCATATTTCCCAAAGCAGGAAAATGAATGTTATCTTCCAAGGGATTCTGTGATTCATGAGAACGTTATTGCACGTAGAATTAAACTGCATCCATTCCATCCAAGAGGAGAAATTTGAAAGAAATCTTTGAGGTGGTACCCTAGCCGAGGCCCACCATTGCGACACAGTTGGACATCCATTGAAAAGATAGACCCCATCTTCTTCCCTCGCTTTGCAGAAAGGGCATTCGGTCCGCATATCCATGCCTCTTCTACTGAGAAACATCCTGGTTGGTAGAACCTGGTGCATGCACTCCTAAAGGAACCATTTAAGCTTAGGGTAGATATTAAGCTTCCAAATCCAGAGCCACCTCCCATTTTCCACATACGGGCTTTGAATACTTTCATTTGTGGCTATGTTGTAGGCACTGGCCAAGGAGAACTCTCCGTTATGTAAGTAATTCCAGCATAGGTGATTAGCCCCATTTTTGCTAAGGGAAAAGGGTGTGCTTTGCAATAAACCAAGGATATCCTCTGGGATTTGAATAGAGACATTAAGTTGCCCATTGATTCCTCCTCCCTGCTACACATCTCTGACCGTGAGCATATCTTCACCCTCCAAAAGTGGTCCCTCCATCATAGATTGAGCACTCCCTTTCCCAGTCCAGTTATCGAGCCAGAAATTCACTTTCGATCCATTATGCACAATTTATCTCATTGCTTTCTCGATAGTCCTCTGACATTTTCTCATGGACCTCCATACCATAGATATGTTAGAGTTCTTTGGTTTTTCTAAGAAGGTATTTGTTGGTGAGCACTCTGACCCAAAGGTCACTTTGGTGATGGATCATTCTCTAATAGAGTTTAGTAAGGAGGGCTTTATTCCGTGGTTGGCTTCTCAACAGCCCCAACCCACCCTCCTCCTTGGGTTTGGTAACCACAGACCACTTAACTGTATGGAATTTTCTCTTTTCCTCCCCTCCTCCTCATAGGAAATTACAGCTACACTTATCGAGTTTTATGCATGTGGAGGTAGGCGGTGAACAACATTGTATGAAGTATGTTGGTATGGCAGCCATAGATGACTGAATTAGAACCAAATGGCTCGCTGGTAATAGGAGCTTAGCTTTCCAGCTCGCGAGTTTGTTGCAGACTTTCTCCAAGATAAAATCATAATCTTGCTTCCTAGTTCTTTGGTTATGAACTAGGAACCCGGATATTTTCCCAGATCATCAGTATTGTTTATACCAAGAGTATTGGTGATCTAGTTTTTCATTCCTGCATTCATGTTCGTTGAAAAGATAACACGTGATTTCTCATTGCTTACCTGCTGCCTTGAGTCTATCATGAATTTATCCAACACCTCCTTAATAGTAAGTGTTGATCTCTTGTCCGCCCATGCAAAGAGGATGACATCTTCAGCAAATAAAAGGTGTGACAACTCGGGCCCTTTCTTTGACACTTTAATGGGGCGCCATTTTTTTTCTTCACAAGCCTCATGTATAATCGAGTTTAGATACTCCATACATAGGATGGAAATATAGAGAGAAAGAGGGTCCCCTTGTCGGATCCCTTGCGACGGTTCAAACTGTGCAAGCTTACTTCCATTAACCATGGCATTCATACTTGAAGACGATATCCATAATCAATGACGTCCATTTCTAGGGAAGTTGAAAAAAGTCAAAACTCTTTTTATAAACCCCCATTCTAATCGATCATAGGTCTTCTCCAAGTCTAACTTAATCATCATATTACCATATTTACCCGTTTTTGTCTCCATAGAGTGGAGAATCTTTTGGACTATAATGACATTGTCCACTGCATGTCTCCCTGGGATGAAGCTGCCTTGAAGTGGGGATATGAGCTTTGTTCAGCAGGGGTCTCAGTCTTTGGACCAGAAACTTAGTCACTACTTTATATGTAGTGTTGAGCAGACTTATCGGTCTAAAATGGTTCACGGTATTGGGAGATTGGTTCTTGGGGACCAACGCAATCAAAGTTCCGTTCAATCCCTTTGGTAGTCTTCCTTTCTCAAAAGCAGCATGGGATGTTACAACCACCTTGCTTTTAACTTTGTTTCATTAATGTTGATAGAAAAATGGGTGAAGCCCATCCGGACCCGATGCTTTAAACGACTTAAGAGACCATAGAGCTTTCTTAACGTCCTGTTCGGTTATTGGTGCCATGAGGTGTAGCCTTTCAGTCTCGGTTAACGT